AATTTGTTTTATTCTCTATTTTTTGTATATTGTTGACATAGAAAATCTTAGTTTTTATTTTTTATTTTTCTATATCGATAATATAGAAAAATAAGAATTAAAACTAACTGATATTTATATTATCAATTAAAATCAATAAGAATTCAAAAATAAGATTATCTATATTATTAATATAGAACAGTGAGAAATAAAAATGGATTTTTCTGTATTAATGACGTAGAAAACTAAGAAATGAAAGTAGCTGTTGTCTATATTATCAATACAGAATAATAAAAGATAAAAAGTAAGATTTTCTATATTATCAATATAAAAAATCTAAAATAATAAATAAGATTTTCTAAACTGCCAAAATAGAAGAACAAGAAATAAAAATGGCAATTTCTATACTACCAGTATAGCAAAAATGAAAAATAATGAATAGGATTTTATATAATATCAAATATAGAGCAAATGTTGACTGTACTTGTTCTAAAATAAGACTGAAGTTTATGTGCAAAAAAACGAAGCAAAGTAGCCGATCAGACTGATCATTTCCATGTGTATAAGAAATATTTGAGAAGTTTGATTTAATTGAAATAAATCTATAATATTAATAAGCATCTCATATAGCTCTGTATCATTATGAATAAGCAGAACACAAAATTGCCTACTAGAATTTTATGTCTCATAATCTCTTTGATTTAGAAAGCAGAAAGTGTTGTTTTGATTCTGGCTCTCATCTTCGAGTTGTTTGACACATAATTAAAGGTCTCATACCGTTTTACATGTATTTGTTTTTTGTCGATGGAAGAAAAGAAATAATACTAAAATGTACTTTCTTCCAATTGCACTGAGACATTAAACGTATTAAAAATACATGACATTACATGTAATCAAAATGAAAATTGATTAAATAGTATTAAATTTAATCAAGATCTCGATTATAGCTAGATTCTTCATAGATAAATTAAAAAGGATGAAATTATTTAAATTATTTTTTGGGAGTTTATAAAACTGCATGACATTTTTTATTAACTTCATCGATTCTGTAACTGTCCATACAAGATATAATCAAAGAAGTATTGTTTCTAGTTTAAAGCTCATATCAATATCAATATCAACCTTTAGAAAATTCTAGACCAACAATAAAAATTTGAAGAAGAAATCTTCACACTTATTGCTATTGAGAATAGCTAAAATCATGATGAAATCTTTTACGATCGTTGCTTTTTTGTGAGAATCCCCAAAAATTTATACCTATTGAATAACGTACAAAACAAAAACTTGTAAATATTTTAGATTAAGGTTTCGATAGAAGATTCATATTGTCTTGTAAAGAAGCGAAAATATTTAATTGTAGAAAGTTCGAAATCGATCCTTGATCGAAACTACTATTGTTTAAAAAACCGTGTTTCATACCCTACTAAGTTGAAAATTTGTAATACATTAGAAATGAATTCAAAATAAAAGATTTGATTGATTCGTATATAGATCATTGTTTGTGCTATAATGCAGAATAATGAAGATGACAGATTCTTCAAATATTCTTGAACTTGGGAAAGATTTGTTTTTGAGTTCTTCTTATCTACTAAAATTTGAACTTACGTATTTTTTTATCAAAACTTATCTTATTTAGTACTTCGATTAGCCTTTTTTTCAAACTACTTGTTTGTTTGAGATTCAGGAATAAATTACTCAATAATAAGTATGATGCAAAATTAATGGCATAAAATACTTTAGAATGATGTATGATTTATATTTGTCACACTCGTAAATGGAATAAGAAAGTAAACTACTTACACAAAAAATTTGTAATTTTTTTATATGAATCAGTCAAAAACGTCTTATACATGGTAGTTAAGTATAATTAACTATCGTTATTATCTAGCAAGATGTATTTAACGAATTCATATAAAAGTGGCAAATTTATTTTGTCTCATTTCACTCAGAAATGTGTGACAAACATAAATCATACACCATTTCCTATCAACTGGCAACAAAATTGTTTTTCCTTACGTTCAAATCCTATTATAACTCATTTTATCGTAAAATCCAAACAATAAAAAATCAAATGATTTTCAAATTGATGACATGCAAACTCTAAATATATTTCAAAATCGAACTAACAAAATCAGTAAATATGTTGGAAAAATTCGATATAAAAGACACTTTCATTCACAATAAAATCCGAGTTCATCGCAATTTTTCACATTACCAGTTAAATAGTTAATTTCAAAATATTTGAAAACGTCAACAATATTTGTTTTCAACATTGAGAAAATCAGATTCCAATCAAGTTCATAAGTAAAAAACTTTTGTAATTTAGAGCAGTTCAATATTGCTTAAAACCAATGAGAATGAGTCATTTTAATGAAATCGATGTTTATTTTTACTTCATACTTTTGTTTCCATTTCAGTACCACTACGTGCAAGTTCGATTAATATTCATCCCAATGCAACATGGTCAACGAATGGTATCACTGTAGCTGGAGGAAATGGACAAGGCAGTGAAACCAATCAACTCTATTGGCCATGTGGATTGTACGTCGATGATGATCAAACGATTTATGTAGCTGATGAGTGGAATCATCGTATTGTGGAATGGAAATCTGGTGCAGCGAATGGAAAAGTAGTTGCTGGTGGAAATGGAGAAGGAAATGGAACTCATCAGTTAAATCACCCAGTTGATGTGATTATCGACAAAGAGAGCGATAGTCTCATCATCAGCGATGACGAGAATAATCGAGTAGTTCGATGGCCTCGTCGAAATGGTACTCTCGGAGAAACAATTATTTCAAATATCTCTTGCTGTGGTTTGACAATGGGCGACAATGGTTATCTCTATGTCGTTGACTATGGAAAACATGAAGTGAGACGATATAAAATTGGTGACACTCAAAGAACAGTGGTTGCAGGTGGCAATGGACAAGGAAATCATCTCGATCAACTCTCTCGCCCCCACTACGTATTTGTCGATCGAGATCATTCAGTTTATGTGTCTGAATATGAAAATCATCGTGTAATGAAATGGGAAGAAGGTTCAAAACAAGGCGTTGTTGTAGCCGGTGATCAAGGAAAAGGAAATAGTCTTACACAATTTAATGCACCTGAAGGAGTCGTTGTTGATCAATTGGGTACTGTCTATGTGGCTGATTTCGGGAATTGTCGAATCATGCGTTGGCCAAAAGGAGCCACACAGGGAAGTGTCATTGTTGGTGGAAACGGTAACGGAGCACAGCCGAATCAACTCAATTATCCCATAGGTTTATCATTCGATCGACATGGCAATCTCTATGTCGTCGACTGGGGAAATGATCGAGTACAAAAATTTAATATCGAATAAACTCATAACGAGGATTAATTTTATTTGTTTTGTTCTCTTTCTCTTTCAAATAAATCGTGATTGAATGAAAAAATGATTTCATAGCTATTCTATTCTCCTCGCGCGCGCGCGACCAGGAACCATCCCGATGGAGCCGTGGCGAGCGTAAAGCTCATGCACGCGCGGGAAGACCCACATCATTCACATGCACCCATCCGATGTCATATGTCAGTGAGTCTGGGGATCCGATCGTGTGCCACGGACACCAAGACAGTTCCTGGTCAGGCTTTTAGGGACTACCCGGAAGTCCTTCTTATAAGGCGAAACCCTAATCTCAACATACCTCACTCACTCTAACTTGTCTCATCTCAAGAAAAAAAAATATTGAACGATGAAGAAAAAAAAAGATAACTTACCCCTATTATCTATTTCTTCATTAGTCAATGGCTAAAATATAAAAACATATATACAAAAGATCATAGGAGGACTTACCACCCTCCAAATAATCGTACAAAGATAAAAAAAGAAAAAGAAAATTAAAAAACTAATACCTACATTTTTTTTATTGTGTTGATTTGAGTAATTTTGCATCGTTGAAGCCAATCTAAAATATAAAAAGAAAAGATTATTATTTGATTCAATAAATTGAATGATTTTTACATGGAAAATCATTCATATTTATATGTAAAAAATCGATAATTTTCTTTTTTTTTCGTCATGCAGAGAGTGATCAAAAGGCGATAATAATTAAGCTATCATCAACATATGCACATACATTGAGATAAATTCAATCACAAATATCTCAATGTATGTGTATGGGATAATGCTTAATTGATATACACGATCATTAAGTCACATTATCATTGATCATCAATGATAACCTGAACAATGACGACTTACGGGCGAGAGAAGAAAAGAAAAAAAAATATTGTCGTGGCCTATATTGTTTTTTCATTCTTCTCTCACTTCCACACTCAGTTGTGAACACGAAACAGACGAGCACACAATATTCAAGTATGTTCATATCATTCCACTAATCGATGATCTTGCCTCACTTCTTGCCAGATTCTTGTTTTTCTTGGCGACCAGACAAGATTCTTTTCAATCATAATGTTCAGGCAAGATTCATTTCGAGAGGAAAGAAAAAAGATTCTTGCAAGAAGTTCAAGATGAAGAGAATCTTGTCTGATTACTAAGAAGTAAAAGAATCAGACAAGAATGACTAGATATTCAAGATATTTTTAAAGTTCAGACAAGAATCTTTTTCCTTTCCTCTCAAAAAGAATCTTGACTGAAGTTCAAGACGAAAAGAATCTTGTCTGATTGGTCAGAAAAAATAAGAATCTGAAAAGAATCACAAGATATTTAAAATTTCTTGAAGTTCAGACAAGCTTCTTGTTTTTTTTCTTTTACAAGATTTGTATCTAATCTTTAATATCAATAGCACGTGATCTCTTTGTTTAAATATTTATATATACAGACGTGTAATCGTTATTTTTATTCATTTATAACTATGTAAGCGTGAGGTAAGGAACTTTTCAAGATAATCGATCGTATTGAAAAAGACATCTATCGATTATCTTTTTTCTATTAGGTATACAGACAGGACTGTAACATATACTACAAATAACAATGACTTTTTACAAAGAATTATATCTAGCATTAACATCTATTTTTTTCTTTTCTAGAATTTTTTCTGATGAATATCGATCAAGAAGATTCAAGTAGTAGTTTTTTCTGTAATATTATTGCTGATTTAGGTAATATGACTGTGTACCTATAACATTCTTTTTTTAGGAATTAAATAGAATCAGTTTAGGTCATATTTTATGTGATCCTTCAATGAATGCAACAGTTAGATCTTTAGCTGGTGCTGCATACGGTGAAAAAGTATCATTCAACGATTTGGCTCCAGGAGAATTTGATCTTCTTTTGGGTAAGATGAATAAAAAAATTCAATGATCATTTTAGTATTTCAAATCTGTATTTTCAAGTTTTTTTTGCTCGAATTCATCAATTAACTGTTGTATCTGTCCTTGTTG